TTTAATGGGGGGGGGGGTAAATAGAAGTAAGTTCTGAACTCTTAACGTTAATTTTTATTTCGCGTATTTCGTTATCTGAAAGACGTCGCGTTTTTAAACTTATAATATTTCAAGAACTTATCGCCCGATTTCTTTTAAATTTAAGATTTTGTCATTTAAAACTACGCAATTAAAAAGGTGTAAAAATGTTTATACCTTAAATTTAATTTTTTAGCTCAGTTTCAAAATAAATAATAAAAAGTGATGAATAATAATTGTTAATAACTATTTTTCGTGGTAAATTATCTTTGGATTAGCACCTTTTTAAATTGAGTGCAAAAGAAAAAAAAATTCGCTTCGTAAGTTCTGGAGATTTAGCTAAGAATAAAATTAGCACTAAAACTTCCTACCACTCTTCTGCCTAAATTAATGAGACTATATTTCCCAGATCGCAGCTACCCTTTATATTTTGGGGTTCAGAAATCCGAATCCGTTGAAAAAAAGGTATCTTTATTCAGAGAAAGTACGTTTTTGTGTCTGATTTCGTAACTTAAAATATCGTCTGCACTAATCAATAAGCATATTTGATGTCCCACCCACGAACTATTGTGACTGAGTTTCAAAACATGAAGATCCGATCATTAGATCAAAAGTTATTCAGCGTAGTCTGTTTTTTTGGCACGCTGTACATTTGAACATCTGTGTACCATACATTTCTTCACGCAGCTCACAAGGAATTGCTTTGGCTTACAATTTCAATTTGGCTTACAATTTCATTTATAGATTTATCAGTATGTTATAATTTTAATATTATATTATTAATGTCATAGAATGTACAATAAGATGTTTGTAATTAAACCATACAAGAGAAATAAATTTGTGGTTAAATGTTTCAGTTGTAGCGTTTGTTGGAAAAAACAGTATAAAGGATTTTCTGTACCTGATGAAGATTTTGAATTACTCCAAGGGAAAGATAATTTGACTCTGTATACTTTTAATACAGGAGTTGCTAAACATTATTTTTGTAAAACATGTGGTGTACAGAGTTTTTACAAACCACGCTCAAATCCAGATCGTATCAGTAAGTATAACAATATTAATTTATACATTAGACTTTTAGATAAGTTGTACAGTCGACAAAATAAAAAAAGTAAAATATATATATGTTTTTATACTCAAATTTAAATAATGAAAAATTATAACTAATTATTAAAAATTATTTTTCTTTGGGTAAATGAGTTTCATAAATGCATTTTTTTTAATTGCTTAACTATTTTTAAAAATAGGACTAAAAACGCAAAAAGTGAAATTAACATTAAGGGGTCCGAACTTTTGATGACTCTCCTAACCAAACTATGGTGACTATATTTCCCAGATTGCGGCTACCGCCTATATTTTGAAGGTTAAGAATCCAAATGTGTAAAATTATGCATATGTTTTCTCAGAGAAAGTACGTTTTTTGTGTCCGATTTCGTAACTTAATTGATAGTTAGCACTAAATAATTTGCATATTTGACGTCACCCTCAGGAACCATTAAGATTGAAACTATGGGATTGAGTGTGTAGATGCGCTTGAAGTGTAAGAAGGTTTTCAGGTTAAATATTAAGCGTTTATTAACAACACCACAAACATATATACGCTACGTGCAAAATAATAAGATTAATAGAGGACGTCCTTTTGCAATGAGTTTTAGCAAAGAAAGATGATGTGTTCAGTTCGGATCTCACCAGAGAAATGAATTCGCCACACCTTTAACGTACAGTGATTGGCTAGATTTAATTTGAGAAATTAGATTATTGGATTAGAATTTTGATAGACAGATTTTAGTTTGAGTTCCCAATTCTGTGTTTCGGTTTCAATTTAAAAGTTTCACTTCATGAAAATTGTGATTGACAGATAAAGAAAAGTGAAAGTAATTATGGATCACCACAAAACAAAGTACGTGAAAATCCGATCATTAAAACGAAAGTTATTCAAGGTGAGATCTTATTTTTTGCCCACTTTACCTATAGAGATAAATTGAGAACGATTGATTTGCTTATATATAAGGCTTATATAATTAATTTTATATTGTTATTAAACGTCACTTATTTCTCTTTATATATTATATTACATACTTTGTGCGTAATTTTAATATTAATCGAATAAGTGAAATTTAATTTAGCGACGATCGAGCTTGTTTTGATGTTTTTAATTTCGCCTTCAAAATATTATATTATTTAGAAAAATTATATTATTTAAAATTATATTATTCTATTATTTATTTAAACTACATTATTGTAATAAGTGGAGAACATTTTATGCTAATTAATAACATTATAATGTAGCATAAAAGCTACATTATAATTTATTGGAAAGTCATTGTATTGCTTTATAAATGATGCTTGATTTCAAATTAATTTTACCACCGCATATTTAGCAATTGCATACAGAGTGAATAACCTGTCACACAGTTAAAAGATAATATGAGACAAAAATTTAACTCTTAGCTTTTTTATAAACTTGTCTGCGTCTGGCTTCTTATTTTGTCTAGTCTATTGTCGAAAAAGTAAGAAAAATTCAAATTAGAAATAAAATTTTAACACGATTGTTCAAAATGAAATTTGAATTGTTCTTAGTTTCGATGCAGCATTGTATTAAATGCAGACAAAAAAGAAATTGAAGGATGACCATTAAAAATTGTTAGTTAGCATAAGGAAAACATTTTTCTCAAATAAAATAATTTTTTTAATACTTATTTACGTTAATATGCAATTAACAACCCTTTAAAATTTTCTATGGTGAACCGAATTGAAGTAAAATTCTGTACGCAATTAAAAATACCAATTAATATTAATTATGTGCTCATGGTACGAATGGGTTAAAAATTGAAATCTAAACACCAGATTCTATTAAGTTTTGACTTTCGTGAATAATGGGAGTTGTTCCCTTGCTAGTTTATAGTATTAATTAATTCAAGCCTAGTATATTCAGTAAGCAATTAAAAATACCAATGTTTTGAAGATGAAAATATTTTGTAGGGCTATTCACCTATTGAAACAGTCAATGTATGCAATATCGATGTTTCTGTTTTTTTTTTTTTTTTNTTTTTTTTTTAATAAGCTGATGCATTCAGTTGACTGATTTTTTTTTTAAATTTTTAGGTATGAATGTTTCGTGTATTGATCCTGGCACTATTAAAGAGATAGAGGAATTACAATTCGATGGTGTAAACTGGGAAGAATCAATGATAAAGAAACCTGTGACCTAATTTTATAAAGGCTGTACAATTTCAGTAAATAAAACAAGGTCATAATCCAGCGGGTATTATATTTTATATAAAATATTCTTGGAATTTCCTTTACGATAAATTTCTGTGGGGCCAGGATAGCCTGGTTGGTAGGGCACTGGACCCATGTCCAAGAGGTTGTGGGTTCAATCCCCACCAGCCGAAGACTCCCCGTGTAGTAAATGGTGACTGATGCACGTTAAATCTGTCGGGTCAGAAGGTCCTCCATATTTCTATAACAAATCGTACCTCTGAGGGTACAGATCCAGGAGTATCCTTGTCCTCTGTATTGGTTCAAAATTACAAGGCTGCGGAGTTGAACATTAGTTAACCCAAAATTGAGTCGGCTGTTCAACGATGGTTATAAAATAAAATAAAATAAAATAAAATACATTTCTGTGAGCCGTGATGGTTCAAGGGATAGAGCGTTAGTCTTCCAATGAGGTGAATCAGTTTCAAATCCCAGCGATGGCTGATCGATTCGAATTCCGCACCCGGCTTGTACGGACCACAGTGCTCACGTTAAATATATTCAGTAGTAGACGGATCATGGGTTAAAGTTCCCTTGCCGCCAGGCTAACCATGGGAGGTTTTCGTGGTTTTCCTCTCCAAGTAGCTGTTAGTTCCATCAAAAAGACAAATACTCGATCCAAGAGTTCTTCTGGATTTGGTTCGAAATTACAAGGCTACAGAGTTGAACATTAGTAGCCGTATACCCAAAAATTGAGTCGGCTGTTCAACGACGGTTAAAAAAATAAAATACATTTTTGTTTACTGTTTGTTCAAGAAGCAAAAATTTCTTCAAGGAATGCAAAAGAGTTATTAGACTGACGATTCTTTTCAAAACACTTCCAACTATTTTTCAATTTAATACTTTAAATTTCATTGTTTGATTTTACTTTAACTTGTTAATTGTAACTTGATAAGAGTACTATATAATTTTGACCTATCGCTCTTGGGCTGCAATAGTGGCACAACTCAAAAAACACGCGTTTTGGACTAAGAACTGGTGTAAATATGAAAATACTCATTCCTTCAGCAGCAATGCTTGCACAACTCATAATTGAACTTGAAGGTAATCTTAAATTAAGCAAACTAAAGCATTTTTTTTATGTATTTTGTTTAGCAATGAAAACTTTAAACCCACGTATCTCAAAACTTGATGTTTTGAGTTGTGCCGCTATTGCAGCCCATGAGCGATATGTTCTGTTAATGTAGGTATTTGCTTATTACAAGTGAAACAAAATAAAAGGTTTTTATATTTTTCTAAGTAATTGCTTCAAGAATTCTCGAAAGGAGTCATTACATTTTAAAATGTAATGTATATTTTCAACATTATTTTGTCGTTACATTAAAAAAGCATGTTTTCATTGTAAGATATAAGGGACTCTTTTATAGATTTTCACTTTTTAATTGCCAGCAAAAATATATTTTGGTATTTTTCAACTATCGGAATCAGTTAGATTATCGGAATTAATATTTGTACAAAAATATAAAATCCAAAAAAAGTAGTTAGAAATTTTTTCCCCATTCATATTCAAACATTTATCAATAACTGATTTCGTAAATTAAAGTAATTTCAAGGATGAATAACTCTTTCTGTTAGATCTAAATAACTGAATACCTGGCTACAAATTTGAAAAATTATTGAAAAATTCGAATTTGAAGATTTTACTTTTAATGTAGAAAACTATACCTGTGACTCATGCTATATTTAATAATCATAAATTATTGAAATTCTAAATATAATATTTTCCACTTATTTGAACCTAAATTAATACGAAGTAATAAAAAATGTGTTTAGAAAAAATTCTGTGTCAAAGGGTTAACCGATTTTATATATTTGTAATTGCCTAATTCTTGGTCAAAATATTAAATATTTAATTTTTATTTTATGCGATCCAGATCATTCTTTGAGATAACAAAATTTAACGGGGTTAAAAAGTAATTGAGGTGAAAAAATAAGCGTATGACGTGAGGCAAGGGTATAAGAGATTTTTTTAACATTTTGTTGTTACCCAATTGTATGTTCCACATCAATAAATGAAACATTTCAAGACCCAGAAAGCCTTTTATTGCCACGAAAATATTTGTACCTTTCATCCTAAAAGGATTAAAAAATATTTTTAAAAGCTTTTGTAAAAAGTATGCTGACGTCACACTAGCGATAGGATCCATTCAAGACAAGGTGGATAGCATACAAGACTTTGCAAGAATTATTTTCTCTATTAAAGGATTTTTTTCCCTCTCCAAAGTCAACCTCGATTTGATATCGAAGGTTGTTGACCAAGGTTTTGGATTAGGGTAATGAGCGTAGAGCAGATCTCGTTTTAAGGTTAGAGGGTTTACGCGTAAACCTCATCACGAACCTCACAACCTCTTCAGAGGGGACTCCGATTTGGTAGTTCGACGATCTGCACGAAGTCGGGCAGTTAACGGTAATGCAGTTTAATGAGGGCCGATATCGCGCTCCCTCGGTCCCTTCGTAGGCTGATCAATGGTAAGCATACTCTATCCCTAAGCCAGTGATTCTCAACCTTTTTTTTCACGGCACACTTTTAACGATTTCAAAATTTGACAGCACACAATGAAAAAAATAAGCTTAAAAGTTGTTTACTTACCTATTATTATAGTTTACGATAAAAAATGCTGTGTAAAATAATTTATGATAATAATTTTGAATGTGAAATAAAATAATATTTGCTACAAAAGCAACAATACGTTTATTAAGCTGAAAAGTTTTATAGGCAGATTTATCTCTCATTCACGCTTAGTGTAATGAATGTATGAAAATATTAGCTGATCATCGAAATGCTTGGCATCATGTGATACTCTACAACTTGAGTGTTTTTACGCTGCTGAAACCGGTTTACACTTGTTAATGTTCGTGTATTAATTGGTTAACATTGTAATGCAATATGTTAAAAATAAATACAAATGGGAAGCATATCAAAAATGTCCTCCATAAAAACTCATTACATTTATGTTTAAATGTAAAAGTATTGCATATAAACTTGTGCAAAACATGCAATTATTAAAATACTACAATGCATCTAATAATTTGGTCTAATTATTATAATATACTAATATAATACCTGATGTAATAAATATTCTGTATTTATATAATATAGCGTCTAATTTATCCAATTGTCAAATTTATATTATATATCGTCTAATTTCACCAATTTGTACACGAACATAAACAAGTACAAACCGGTTTCAGTCACGTATAAACAATAAAGATGTATAGTATGACTTATGATTGGGATTTTATATAGACTCTTAGAGTGCGTCGAATAATTTGACTGTATATTAAAGTTTGTTAAACACAAAAACTGTGAGTATTTTGCAACAAAAAAAAAGAAAGAAAAAGATCTCCGTGAAAGTATGGCTTCATTTCCAGACAACTCCTTTCTATTGTATAGTGTTTAATGTCTATATTGTTAGACATATCGATTTAGCCATTTCCAGAAATAGATTGAAAGGAAGCGAAAACTATGGAAGCTCTTAAGTAATTTTCAAACTGTTTAGAAATATAATTCGTCGGGTTTAGTTTGACGTAGATCAGTTTAGATTTAAATTAATTTCAAAAGAAAAAACATTTACACATAGATTTTATCGAGTCAAAAATATTAATTGCAATTTAGCCATCAAAGGAATCTTAAAAAAGAGGGATTAAATTTGTGAAAACTATACGTGATAAAGTGATTCGCAGTTTTATTTCATGCATATAAATGAAGTGACAGTTTTATAATATTGTTTATAGACTTTTAGATTTAGTAACTCAAGTCTTAAAATTACCCGCCAATGGTTCTCAATGGCTATGCAAATACTTGCCGTTAAAATAAATTTCTGTATGAAACTTTGTCTTTTCAACACGTCGAAATAAAACTTCAAATTCACAAACTTTGTAAATAAAGCAAGAAATTTAGAGTACCAACTATCCGATAAAAGCTTCGCAAATGTGTACCAATATATTACCAGTTTACATGTCCGACATACTATTTGCAAACATTACCCAGTAACTATCCATACTTCTTTTAAGTTAGTGTTTTGTACTCCAAGATATTCGGAACGTGTTTAGACTGTTGCAATAATGACGATAAGGTTCAAATAAAATGCCAAAGTGGTAGAATCTGATATTCAGTCTAAGAATTTAGTCTTTAAACTAATTACCTGTAGACCATTGGATTCGTCAGATAGAATTTATTGGGGGGGGGGACATACTTGGACTGTTACTTGAGAAAAGAAAAAGAAATTAACCTTGCTCTTATTAAAACTGTGTAGGGCACTGGACCCATGTCCAAGAGGTCGAGTGTTCGATCCGGTGATCGAACTGGTGACCGATGCNGAGAGAGAGAGAGAGAAAGAGAGAGAGAGAATGAAAAAAATCCAATTTGAATTGTAGCTTTGTAGACATGCAAAATGTACAGTGAAGGATTAAGTAGTTCTAAAATTGTTCTTAATTTCTATAAAACATTGAAACACTCTTATAGTATTACGATGTAAAAACAGTGCTTTTTGACTAGTTATTCTTTTAAAAATTTTGTTACATTAAGTTGCTTTAAATTTTATTGATATTTCTAACTCATTAAAAGATTTATTCCATGATAAATCGTTGATTGATACGTTATTTATAACAATATTGTGTATTATAGAATTGAAAAAATTATAAATATATAAAAATTAAACTTAAAGTATTAAAAATATATGAAGTATCATGTATCACATTTCACTTTTGTGTATCATATATGTGCCCCTTTTTCATAAGTCTCAATTGAGGCAGAATTTATTTCTTTAGGTATGTCGAAGTAAAATTAAAGTTGCTTAAATCCAATATGTTCAGTGTATGTGTCTTAAAAATATACCTTATAGTATATATCTTATTTTGTAGTATATATATAGTATATGTAGTATATTTAATAGTATATATCTTATTTTGAATACTTTTTTTTGAAAAATATTATGTCTGTTAAAAGTTTTGTTCAAAATGACGTGAAATTTATAAATGTATAATATAATGTCATCTAT